GAGTTGAAGTGCAGCTAGGAATGAATATATACTGGTCTTGTAACAATGTAGTTTAGTTTAATGTTTAAATTATTATTGATCTAAAGAAACGTGTTAATCTAGGTAATTTGACTGTGCTTATAAATATCCTAACGATTTTCGTTCTTGGTAGGCGGGAAGTCTTGAATAAATTAAGTGATTTTCACTGTACTAATAAAACTGCTAGTCAAAGTCGAGAAGATATCGTTTTCATAGCATTCACGCCTAGTTGGGGATTTAGGAAAATTATAAATGGACGGCCGTGATGAACTGATCTATTATTTTCTCTACATTTAAGTCTGATAAGGAGTGGGATCAAGTAATAAGAAAGGAAAAGAGGGAGAAACTACTTTCAAGCAGCCAAGATTTGATTATTTGACTCGAGATTTGGTCATATCATTCTCTCTTCTGGAAACTAACAGCTTGTTAGGATTATTGTTATTGTATTGTTACGCTTGTTTTGATTGTTGCTTAGAGCGTACAAAAAGCCTAATATTTGACGAGTAATCTCGTAATTGAAATGCAAATTTTTTATATTTTTAGCTCTTCTTTTTTAAAGTTACATGAATATTTTTTTAATACCTTTCTTTTATTTTCCTCAGATTCAGGGTTTGCTTCAATAAATTTATATGCTGAGGTTTTTAAATTTAGGATTAATATCATTCCTGATTTCATCATTGTAGTTCATAAAATATTTAAAATTTCTAAAATTTGGTAGTGGTCAATTTTTTTTTGTATTTAAAATTGATCTTTGTCTATACTGAAGAGCAGTTTAAATATTAATAATATATTAAAGTAATCCAAACTGATCATTGGCCACTTAAAGTAATATTTTCTTTTGATAAAAGATTATTATTGGCCACCTAAAACTTTTCAATTTCGTTATTATTTAAGCAAAAGAAAAACTAATTTTGTCATATTGCATGCATGTCAAAAATATAAATTCTAGTTGATACAGAAGGGTAAATGTGCAATCTAGGGTTGGGGAATGTGGATTATAGTTAATAGGTTTTTTAGTTTTTACTTTTTTTAAATATTAAATAGTTAATAGTTAAATAATTTAAATTTAATTAATTTTTAGCCCACGGACCGGCCCAGGCCCAGCCTCGGTCAAGTCTCAAGGGTCAGTGGGCTGACTTGGGCCGGGCTTTTAAGCCTCAGTTTTAAATGGGAGATTTGTATCTATACCCAATTTTTGGGTCACATTTTAACCTATACCCGCTTTGCAAAAAAAATTGCAAGCGTACCCACTTTTCGGGTAACTTCAGGCATACGGGCCTGAAGTAGCAAAAATTTATGTCTAAAGTTTGAACTTCAGAATGTATTGCCTGAAGTGTAGCCTTATCAAAGCAAAATTTCAGATATTTTTGCCTGAAATTTGGCCTGACTTGTAAAGGCAATCGCGCAAACTTCAGTTCATAGTACAATGGAAAACTTCAATTCAATAATTGCTGAACTTCAGGAATTTTGGCTAAAATTTTTATTTTGTAATTGCTGAACTTCAGCATTCTAGGAGCTTAAGTTTGTTTAGTATCTGCTGAACTTCAGCATTTTAGGAGCTAAAGTTTGTTTAGTATTTGCTGAACTTCAGCTCCTAGAGGATGCACTTCAATTCAATAATTGCTGAACTTCAGCAATTTTGGTTGAAATTTTTATTTTGTAATTGCTGAACTTCAGCATTCTAGGAGCTAAAGTTTGTTTAGTATCTGTTGAACTTCAGTATTTTAGGAACTGAAGTTTGTTTAGTATTTGCTGAACTTCAGCTCCTAGAGGATGCACTTCAGTTCAATAATTGCTGAACTTCAGCAATTTTGGCTGAAATTTTTGTTTTGTAATTGCTGAACTTCAGCATTTTAGGAGCTGAAGTTTGTTTAGTATTTGCTCAACTTCACCTCCTATAGGATACACTTCAGTGCTTGGGTCCTTTTGGGTAATATTCCAAGCAGTCAACTTGAACTTCCCTGTAACACTCCTCAAATCTATAAAAGTTTCAACACACGCTAAATATAGATTTTTTTTTTTTTTAAATCTTGCCTTAAGTGCATAAAAAAATAATTATACTTCTATTACGGATTTAAACCCTTGTGATTGACTTTTGAGTTACTTTCCTATTTATAAATAATTGGATATACAAATAGGGAATATTAATAAAGTTGATATTATTAGTTATTAGAAGTGAGTATCATTAAATACTAGTTAAGTCAAAAAAAATAAAAAATAAAAGAGAAGGCAATAAAACAAAAAAAAAAGGGAGTCACGTGACTAACCCATAAAGTAGGTATTGAAAGGAAAACAAAGGGCTTAATGCCTTTAAGAAAACAAAAAGCATTCTGTTTCTCACACACACAAAAGACTTAAAGTCTTAATCGAACAAACCTCTGTTCATTCACAGGCGGAAGGCTAAAAAGCCTAATTCGAAATAGAGAAACAGAACATTATTTTGTTCACGCAGCAAGCACAAAGGCTACGGAACTTAAACACGCAGGCAACGAAAATTCTAGGGTTCTTTACAAATCACTAATTCTTGAACTCAGATATATAAAATTCCCTATTATCAATTATCCTAAAGTAGTGGTAGATAAGAATTGAATAGTTAATTTCCTTCTTTCTCTGTATCAAAATTAAATTTTATGTTTAGGTATGAAACTCTGAAATTAATTCAAATACACTGGTTGTTGTAGAATCAATTGTTTGACGGGTATAAATCGGACTTGGGCCTACGTATTGGCTCAAGGAGTTTTGAGGTGAGTTGATATAACCTTTTTCTAAAGTGGTTTAACTCACAAAAGAACGCATACAAGGTGTTTGATGAATTGCTTAAAAGAGTTAATATGTACTTAATTGGAGCTATTGAGTACCTATTAATTTAGAATTGTTCTAGCTAAAGTTTAGATGATTTATTATGATATATGTGCATAAATTTTCAGATTTTTGTGTTATTCGTATATGCCATTTTCATGTTGAAAAATAATGAAAAAATCAAGAATCTTTAGAAATACTTTTAAATGTTTATTTCATTCTTATGCCATGCTTTACAATTAAGGATACCGGTATGAATATGCATAGGATGTTTCAGAAAAGATTTAGACTTGAAAAATCACAAGAAGAAGTTTTAGAAAGAAAAGATTTTTGGGAGTATCCTCTATTCTGAGAAGGGGTCATCTCCAGGCCGAGGGTCCTGACCAAGGCGTTGACTTCCTGAAACTACTTGTGCCAAAGTAGGGAGCACACGAGCCGAGTGTCTCGTTGCTGAAAATTTGCCTAGCCAAGCTAAGGTATAGCACATCGGCGCTGAGAACCATGAAGCGAGTGGCACCTTGTGGATTGGGCCTATTCGATCAGGTTGGGATCGAACCCTTGCTGATCACACGTTGACTGAGACAGAATTAAGTCAGGGTAGTTGGAACTCCCAAAGTATAAAGTGATGTATTTTTTTTTTTAAAGAAAAAAAGAAAGAATTTCTTTAGAATATTCATAAACTGCTATTATGCAATAAATTTTAGAATTATTTTTATAAGATTTATGTTTTACATGCATTTAGAATCTTTCCTTATAATGTATATGTTATTAAAGTTTTGTCCCTGTCGTTGAGACTCACTGAGTACAATGGATGGTACTGACGTTCTCTTTTGGGAACCTACGTTGGTCTGCGGTACAACGTAGGAACCGGTTTTGCAGGCGAGCAGGCTACGGGTTAGGACTTCCCTCACTTCCAGTGCTATTGGTGAGCTCCGCTATTGTTCGTGGAGTACTCCTTAGTGTCATCTTTATTTAGCTATTTCTTTGTTCACTTAGAGAACTGGCCAGGAAATCTCATGTCCTGAGTAGTGCGTCAGTTTATCAGTAGAGGCTTCATAGACACAGTCGGCGGGTTAAGATTAAGATGTTTTTGATAATAATTTAGTAGTATTTCAGTAGTTACTACGAATAAAGTTTTGGAGTTAATTTATTTTAAATATTTAAATTAATCAAAAGTATTTGGTTAAAGTATTGCCTTGTTGCATATAAAGTTTGAAGTTATAATAGATTTGGTAAGCACAGATGGTTCGCTCGGTCATGTTTAGTGATCGGGTGCCGGTCACGACTTGTTCAGAAAATGGGTCATGACATTCCCGTCGTCCATCCTCATACTAGGAAGGAATGTATCAGTGGGTTTATCAAAACTTTGCCATATTGGCTTCCCTGACAAATCATCAATTAAACCAAGTTTCCTGAATTCAAGAGCTTCGCTTTATGTGAAGAATAATAATATCATCTAGAGGAAAGAATAATGTCACCCAAAGAAGAAGAAAAAGAAGGAGGGGAGGGAGGAGGAGAAAGAGGCATGAAGTTATTTAAAAGTGGGTACAAGTTAAAAAATAATTTAAAAGTGAGTATAGGTTAAATGTGGGCGACCAAATAAGGCGCCCCGTGCAATTTTTACATTTTAAATGGGCGCAAAAAATCCTATCCCAACTCTACCAAAGTAGCGGGTTGAGTTGGGCTGGCCTCACGGGTCAAGCCCATTTTGACGGCTCTACTCGTACCTTACTTTTTCTTTATAATATTGCAGGTTTATTTTTTATATTGTTGGTGCATGACATCATAAAATGACGGCAAACAATACAATCTATCCAAACATTGTATACATTAAAACTATACAGTACAATACAATATAATATTATACGATACATTATGAAACGATATATAATAACCCTCCAAACAAGCTGTAAAGGTTCCTAAGGGGAGTTTGTTTGTTAAATAAATTATATTGATACTTAGAAACGATAGATGGTAATGACGGTTTTTGGTGGGACGAAGAGATCTTATTTCCTCTTCCATAGTAGTAAAACGAATTAATGAGCAACCTTATCTTTAACTGAAACGTTTTTTCTTTTAATTATTTTCAAAAATGAAAACTTTTTGAAACTTCCCATTATTATGTTGTGAAAAAGCTAAAAGAATGTGAGGACTCAAAAATAATTGCATTTCTGTTTTTGTCCCTTTGCTTGCATTCTAAAAACCAAAGCAGATAAGGAAAACCACAAACAGGTGGCCCAAAAGATGAACACCTCCTTTGTCCCAAAGGCTTTGCCTTCTCTTCCTCTTCTCCATAGCAAAGCTCCTTTTATCTCCACTAAAGCTTCAAGCCAGGAAAAATCTCATAAATCATCTATTCCACAATTAAAGGTTTGATTTCTTTATTTTTTCAGTGTTCACAAACTTTTGCAATAAAGGGCAGCTCGGTGCACTAATTAAGCTCCCGTTACGCGTGGGGTACGGGAAGGGCCGGACCAGTAGGGTCTCTTGTACGCAGTCTTGCCATGTATTTCTGGCACAGGCTGTTTTCATGGCTCAAACCCGTGACCTCCTGGTCACATGGCAGCAACTTACGGGTTCGCAAACTTTCACGATACAACAATTATTACCATCAAGGAACTTACCACTCTTCTTTTTTCTTGAATTCAATAATAGGCATCAAAATGCATCAATTTGAAGGCTATTGAAAGTCTGGCTTCTTCAAAATCCTTATTGGCTATTCAAGTTGGCGCACTTTTTGCCACTGTAAGACCCTTTAGTTGAGATTAATTAACTCAATATTTTTTTTATTTTTTTTATATGTTTGCTCTTTCTGAAGGATTAGTTTTTCATGAATCCATAATATATAGGTAGGTGCAGAGCCAGTTTTGGCAGTGACAGGTGTGAATAACGAAGAAGACTTGGTTTCGGTGTTGATCCAATTGGCCATTTCTGCATTCTTCTACTTCCTTGTTGCCCCAGTAAGTGGAGATAAAAAAATTGATTTTAAGTTTTATTTACGAATAATATAACTTTTCATGTTGTCATTGTAATTTAATTGCAAGTAAGTTACCTTTTTATCATGTTGTTAATTAATACTAACTATATGAATTTACTCATAATTACCTTATAAATAATTTGATCGTGTAAATATTCTTTATATCATCGCTATATGCAACTTAAAGTTTAAAAAAGAAATTAGAACATAAAGTTTCTAAAACTTTATATGCTAATTGTCTATAGTAGCTCTCATTTATTTATTTATTTTCTTTATCAATTTCTTAAAGTTATACGTGACTTTGATTGCAGCCTATCATAATGACCTGGCTTAGGAAAAGGTGGTATAAGAGGGACCTATTGGAGATGTATTTGCAGTTCATGTTTGTCTTCATCTTCTTTCCAGGGTAAGTGGTAACTATACCATATCTCGATATTTATTTACCTGAAAATCTGGCAAAGATTGGGTAAATTGTCGTATTTCACCATTTAAAAGAAAAGGAGTAAACTAAATGCATGAATCGTTAAGTTAATTCGATCAAGTAGGCATATGATCCTTTTTTGTCCAAACATATGCTATACAGACGGAACATGTAAGTTTATATAATAAACACTATTCTTAGCCTCATAAAAAAAAAAAAAAACAGACAAGCTAAGCAATAGCAACAAGTAGTAATAACAACAAGATAATAAGAAAACGAAGCGAAAAGAACAACATATAATTATAAAAAGCTAACAATAATAGAAAACAAGACTAACACTAATACTACTAGTAGTGGGAATAAATACTCTCGACTACCTACTAGCCTTCTACCTTAATCCTCAGTAAGCTGAAGCAACTCCAAATCCTGCCTAATCAACTCTCCCAAATATTTCTTTAGCCTACCTTTGCATCTTCTCAGACCCATCAAGATCAACCTCTCACACCTCCTTACTAGGGCATATGTACTTCTCCTCTTCATATGCTCAAAACCATCTAAGTCTTGCTTCCCGCATCTTGTTCTCCAATATTGTCATGACCCGTAATTACACCTTAGGCTGTGATGGTGCCTAGCCGCACTTGCTAAGAAAGCCAACTCACAATCAACAAAAAAAGTCAGATTCCTTTAATTAACATATTCATATAAAAACATAAAGATAGAAATAGCCTCAAAACAGTAATATATCTAATACAGTTATAACATAGCTTAAACGCGGCCAAAACAGTATAACACCCAAGACTAGGTGGCAGAAGTACACAAACAAATGTTGAATAAGTACAAGCCTGAATACATGAATAAGGTTGTCTGAAATAATAAATTAGACAGAAAATGGTAAAGAATAGGGACTCGGGCACTGCGAAATTAATTCATGGAGTGCAGCTCACCCTAAGTCTCCGTGCGAGCACCTAAGGTCAATCAAGTGGCTCCGCTAGCACTTACCTGAGGATCTGCATAAAAAAATATTAAAAGTATAGTATGATTACACCACATTCAGCAGCCAGTAAGTATCAATTAAGTCTAACCTTAAAAAAATAGTGACGAAACTGTAAGCATCAAGATATTTAAAACATAGATATAAATAATAGAGATGAAATCTGAAACAGTAAATAATCTCATGAATAATAAGAATCAAAGATATCAATAGTCGAAAAGTATAAATTATGCTTTTCCAGCTCAAAAAATAATTATAACGATGCTCATATATAATATATAAAGATGGCATGCTTCAATTCAACAGAGTCGGGGCTTCCAACTAGTATATAAAGATGGCAAGTAACAATTAATATCTAAATAAGTCAAGGATATCTAAGAATGCTCAAACTCAATTTCTTACAAAAATTGCTACAAGATCCATGTACCACGATACAAAATTCATGTATTACCATAACCCGATATAAAATTCATGCATCGACCCGATACACAATTCATGTATCGGCCATTCTCATAGAGCCCAAAGTAACATGGGTAATCACCTGACTCTAGAGGGGCAGATCCTTATTAAATTTCAAAAAAGAGCTTGATAGCTCACATATAATCAAATATCTGATCATCATGTCCTATGTGCTATTACTGTATTTCATCCACATGCCTTACCTTTTGTTCCAAAATTCTTAGTCCAAATCAGGTATCCATATTCAAAATATATGCATATGCTTAAGAATTATAATAAAAGATGCATAAGGACTTAATGCATAATTATAAATAAAACATGTCTGCTCATGGAGTTTCACTATGGCTACAAATAATTCAAGCAATTCAATATACCAAGGATAAGTTACCATACATTCATAGATAATTATAAACCTAGGCATGATCTCTAACATGAATAAGAGAGCAAACATAATTATATAAGCCAAACAAATCATGAATAAAATAAGCACATAATCAAAACAAGGCATATAGTATCCCAATTCTACCCCGGTCATGATGTAACTTGGTAAGTGCATATACGCTCGTCACCCCATATATACATCATACCCAATACCTTAAACATATACTCCCTCCGTTTTAATTTATGTGAACTTATTTTCTTTTTAGTCCGTGCCAAAAAGAATGATCTCTTTCCCTATTTGGAAACAATTTATCTTTATGCAATGATTTATAGCTACACAAAATATATGTGCCTCATTTTACACCACAAGTTTAAAAATCCTCTCTCTTTTCTTAAACTACGTGCCCAGTCAAATGGGTTCAAATAAATTGAAAGGGGGGGAGTAGTAATCAAGCCAAATCCTAGGAGTTTTTTTCTTAACAAGGTTAGCCAAGAGACTTACCTTCACCCGGTATCATTCAACCTTCCAAAATATCCTTACCTCTTAAATCAACCTCTGAACGAGTCGAATCTAGTCAAATACAACTCAATAACATCAAACAAAGCCATAAGAATCAATTACAAATAATAAACTTCAAATCTTTAATCAAATCCCCAAAAAGTCAACAAAAGTCAACCGAGGTCAATACAGTCAAAACCCCGAGTCAGGAGGTAGATCCTAACTACCCATAACCTTAAGATTCAAATATGTGATTAGATTCTAAAATCGATTCCAATTCGACTCCCAAATCTCTTATTTACACTCTTCAAAATGATAGTCAAAATCCCAAATTTCTCTTTCAAATACCATAATCTATGTGTAAAAATTCATGAAAAAATATAATATGTTAACAAAATCAAGTAGAAATCACTTACCCCGAAAGTGGTGATGAAATTCTCCCCAAAAGTTGCCTCGAACCGATCTCCAAAACTCAAAATAATAAAATAGGCTAAACCTTCGAAATATAACATCTGCCCCGCAATTTTGCATTTGTGGGCTAAAAGGTCGCTTCTGTACTGTGGTAAAACCCTCGCATCTGCCAAACCCACTTAAGTTGCCGACCACTCGCTTCTACGACCCATGCATTTCATTTGCAACTTTGCAGGTGCAGCAAACTCCTCCGCATGTGCGGATATTCCCTCAGGCCTTCAATCCTAGCAAGTGCGCACCAGTACTCCGAAGGTACGCCTTCGCACCTGAAACCCTCTCCTTTATAGAACCGAAACTCCCCAGAACACCTTAACTCTGTATATGCGACAGCCCAGCCACACTTGCGACCTCGCACCTGCCCCCAAACCTTTGCAGGTGTGATGCACCAGAACCAGAACTGCCCCAACCATTCCAAATGGTCTGAAATTAATCTGAAATACACCGGAGTCCTTCAGGATCTCGTCCATCCACAACATGTCTATATACCTAATTAAAACTTATCCAAGGACTCGAAACATTATGAATAATATCAACCCCAAGAATCGACGATCAAAATCCTTATCTTAAGCTCAAGAACTTCCAATTTCCAACCAAGCGTCTGATTCATACCTAACAAATTTGGTTTCCAACCAAACTTCGCACACAAGTTCCACCCCACTATATGGACCTATTCTAAGTTTCTAAATAATAATCCAAGTTTGATATCATCAAGTTAATTCCCGGTCGAACCTATAAATTCTCAAAACCTTCAAGTTGTCAACTTTCAAAAATAAACCCAAAACATTCTAGGAACCTTCAAATCCAAATTCGAACATACCTCTAAGTCCAAAGTTACCATATGAACCGGAACAATCAAAACACCAATCCGAGATCATTCATACAAAGTCAAACCTTGGTCAACTTTTACAATTTAAGCTTCCAAAATGAGACTAAGTGTCTCAATTCACTCCCAAACTTTCCTGAAACCAAACTAACCACCTCCACAAGTCACAAACTTACAAACACAAATAAGGAAAGCATCAAATAAGAGAATGGGATTCAAATACATAAAACGACCGGCCAGGTCATTACAATCGGGCCTGTCACGACCCAAAATTCTCACCTTCGGACTGTGATGGCGCCTAACATTTTACTTGCTAGGCAAGCCAACGTTAGCATAATATTAACCAATTTTTAAACAATCTTTACAGTATTAATAATGAAGGAACCAAAAGCGGAAGCAAAGTTTGAAATATAATAAAATAATCCATAAAAAAATAACGGTGTCTAAATACCATCCCAGAATTTGTGTCACAAGTGTACGAGTTTCTAGAATAATACAAATAAAGCTGTCTGAATAAAATAAAGCTTTCTGAAAATAAACACACAACTAAAGTAAAATAGACGGGAACTTCAGAACTGCGGACGCTATGTAGTTATACCTCAAGTCTCCTCTGAATAGCTGAAATCCGAGCAAGTCTATGGCACGCCGCTGGGACCAACTCCGAAATCTGCACAAGAAGTGCAGAGTGTAGTATCAGTACAACCGACCCTATGTACTGGTAAGTGTTGAGCCTAACCTCGACGAAGTAGTGACGAGGCTAAGGCGGGTCACTTACATTACATGTACGCAATATTAGCAACAACAACAATAATAGAAATAAATGAGGTAACTCATTTATAATAATTGAAGCCAACTCAGCAGCCATAACCAATTATTATTTCCATCAATTCTGTTGCAGCGTGCAACCCGCTCTCACAACATATTCACATTCAATTCTGTTGCAGCGTGCAACCCGCTGTCACAATATATTCACATTCAATTCTATTGCAGCGTGCAACCCGCTCTCACAATATATTCCTTTAATCAAATCTGTTGCGGCGTGCAACCCGATCCCCCTATATATATATATATATATATATATATATATATGTCGACTTTTTAATAAGTTTGTTGCGGGTTGTCCAATATGGACTTTTCATAAGTCTATTGCGGCGTGCAACCCGATCCTCCAATATATTCATTATAATTAATCCTGTTGTGACGTGCAACCCGCTCCTCCAACATATTCATTTACCAATTCTTATAGAAGAAATCTCCCCAATAAATACAATAATTAATATAAAATTATAAGACAACAAGCATACAATAATTATAATTTAATTATGAAACAAACAATGACAAATAGCAGATTATTATGGAAATCAGGGAGAAAATAAGCAGTTTAATATATAATATACTAAATGTCAAATAACAATTAAAACACATAATTCAAATAGCATGTAACAATTAATGCAGGAATTCAAGAATTAATATATGACAAAGAATAGGAGAGAAACAATTATTATAATAATTAATTTATAATTTAAACTAATTTATGATTTTTCAAGTAAGCAGGCAAACAATTAATTTGACGACGTATAGACACTCATCACCTCGCCTATACGTCGTTCACATGCAATTCACATAACAATTAATTTAAGGGTTCTAGTCTCTTAAGTCAAGGTTAACCACGACACTTACCTCGCTTTGCAAATTCCAATCAATTATTCAACCACAGCTTTTCCTTTTAAATTTGTCTCAGAAAGCTTCAAATCTATTCACAAACAATTCGATATATTCAATACTAATCATAGGAATTAATTCCATATGAATTTACAAATTTTCCGGATAAAAATCCAAAATTCATTTAAATATTCGACAGTGGGACCCACATCTCAAATCCCGAAAAAACTCGCGAAATCCGAACACCCATTCCGATACGAGTTCAACCATAAAAAAATTGTCCAATTCCGATATCAAATGGACCTTCAAATCTAAATTTCTCGTTTTTTGAAGATTTTAGAAAAATCTGATTTTTCTTCCATAAATTCACGGATTCATAATATAAACGAGTATGAAATCATGAAATATAATCAATATAGGATAAGTAACACTTACCCCAATGTTTTCCGTAAAAATCGCCCAAATATTCGCCTTAACCGAGCTCAAAATGACCAAAATGAGTAAAAATATCGGACTCTTCGATATATACACTGCCCAGGCATTTCCGCACCTGCGGTGCCTGGGCTCGCACATGCGAGCTCGCATCTGCGAGAAAAATCTCGCATCTGCGAAATGGGGCTGCCAGGCGAGGCCTCGCACCTGCGGAGGAAAAATGCGCACCTGCGCTGCCTTCGCTTCTGCGATCATTTGGTCCGCTTCTGCGGACGCGCGGGTGCATGCACGTTTCCGTACATGCGGACTTTTGCCCAGCCACGCCCGGGCACATCTGCGATCGAAGGCTCGCTTCTACGAGCTCGCACCTGCGAGAAACATCCGCAGGTGCGATTACAACAGAAGGAAAAATACAGATTTTGCTTAAGTCCAGTTCTTGATCCGATTTCAATCTGTATCACTCTCGGGTACTCGGGACCCCGTACGAATATACCAACAAGTCCAATAACATAACACGGACTTATTCGGGGTCTCGTATCACGCCAAACAACGGTAAAATTATAATTCACACCCCGATTCAAACTTTGAGTTTTAAACTTTCAATTTGCAAATCTCGTGTCAAAATATATTAAATGAATCCGGAATGACTTCAAATTTGGCACACAAGTCATAAATGACATAACAGAGCTGTTCAAATTTCTAGAAAGTGGTTAAGAGATGATCCTTGGTGCAACCCCATTACAACTAGAAAGTGGTCTGAGTCCCCTCCCACTGTCCTGACTCGGGTTTTAGCTCCATCATATACGTCCTTAATCATACTAGTGTAAGCAACTTAACTTCATAAAAATGGTAATTAAATGTTATCATATATTAAATTATATTTATCTTGTAAGAAATTGTTATATTGTTAGTGAATTGGAAAAACAAAAGCAAATTCCATATAAGCAAAATAGTCGAGACAAAAATGACAAAAATCATTGGTATTGAAGGGTTTTGCATGGATAAGACGAGCTAGCAGGAAGTCAGGGCGGAATTAGTGTGTCGGTTACGAGTTCGGTCAAACTCAGTAATTTTGGTTTAAATATTATATTTGTCTTGTGAATACTTATTACTTTTAGAATCCAATAATTTAAAAGGACTAGAATTCCGAATTCATAAAGTTCAAATCCTGGTTTCACCTCTGCCGACAGCTTAAGATATTTGGAATCAATTAATGGGATATGGTAAAGATAGAGTTATAGCATTTCTGAAGGAATTGAAACAAATTAAGGGATTATGAAAATATTGACTACTGAAATTTATTTTCTTTTGTTTGATTAATGGATTTTAACTAAGCAAAATATTGTACTCACATTTTTGCCCTTAATTACATTATGCATTGTTTAGTTACTACTATCTTTTTGCTAAATTCGGCGCACACACAAAAAAAAAACTTTCACGATCATCACTTCTAAAATAGACCCTAGTCGGTAGTTAATTAAAAGAACAATATTAATCAGCTTTCCTAATGCTTTCTCGTGTTTGGAATTGATAATTAGTTGGTTGATATATTGACCAAGATAATTGTTTCAAAAACTAGGGTTCTTCTATGGGCACCATTTCTGAACTTCAGAAAGTTTCCAAGAGATCCATCAATGAAGTACCCATGGTCTACGCCAGAAAATCCATCTCAAATTAAGAATACGTACAGGAAGTATCCATGGGCTACTGAAGAAGACTATGAAGTACAATAAATATAGAAGTCCATAAATAATCTCTTTGGCTCTTGTAAATTTGAATTTGTATGATGATGATTAATCATATGTTCCAAATAGTCACTACTCCATTATTGTGCTACATACATGCAAGATGTTGTAACAAGTTTAAAAAGATGACTTGAACAACCAACTACAACTATGTAACGATGTGGTACTTGAAAATAAGATAAATCTTAAAGATGATACCTACAGAAATCTTACAAAATGCTCTCTGGTTATACTCAAAGAGGAGCAGGACATGAAAATCCACTACCAATCGATTCAAACATGTCATTGAAGAGAAACTAAATATACTGTCCCCCCAGGTAAAATCCTCTATTTAAATGTCAAGAACTAATAACAATATACAGTCAAAGTCCTAGCAAAAATCCCCTAAATCAAGGTCAAGAACTAATAGAATTGTAACAGGGTTCTTAATTTCATCTGTTAGCTGCATTTGCCGAGGTGTTAAACTTGCACTGCAACCATGTCAACCGTCTCTCATTCTTAAGAGAGATAAAGGTTTCTCTGGCATTTGGATTCTCAAACAGATCTAATGCAAAAAAGTAGATGCTCTGATCAACACCTTGCATTTCATCCAATACTTTTATGCATTTGCTTATAGCAAAGCGCTCCTCATTCCTCATAATGGTAGCTGCTCTCATCTTTGAAGCAGCTGCAATTTCCAGCATAGCATCAACTATAGCATCGCCAGTTGCCTTGCGACCTCTCTTGCGACGACCCGAATTTGGTGTTACAGGTTGATGCTTATTGTGTCCATCTAACATGTTTAAGTCCCCTCCTGAGCCTGACGAAGCATCCTCATCCACCAAAGCAGGATCAGCAGACATGGTAAAATGTCTTTGCATGTACAAGGCACAGAGGATTTCTACTTCCTACTGCAATAGTAGCATACAAGCCCATTATCACAAATTATTTAGCTAGTAGTTTAATTGAAGACAAACTAGTGACACAGAAATTACACTTGCAACTAAGAAAAGAAGACCATATGAGTTTATTCAAGCTGTAGATTGGAGGAAGGATACAATCAAGGGACAGTATTGTCAATCGCTACAAATATTAAATACAAAAAATGCATGTGTGCGACAACACATCCAAGCTTTTTGCTTCACAATTTCTTTTAATAATAGAGATATCCCCGAGGGCCGGTGGCCCACTGTTAGAAAATCGGTGGATAATGGACCAGCCTTTTTACCTTCTCCACTTAAATACCATACTTTGATTGAGGCAGGGTTCAAATCCATGACGTGAGACTAACCACACATCTCGTGTTGCACTCTTACCACTACACCAAATCCCTAGGGTCGCTTTCCACTTCGCAATTTAACGTTGTGATATGTTGAATCCTAGTACCTACTACCTACCCTCCAAGCTACTTGTACTTGGCCATTCTAGAGAAATCCAGATCTCAAACTTGCATAATGACAAAGTAATTACTATATTAAAGATGCACAGCATTGAAATGCTTAATGAGGCATGACAAGCTTCTAGAACCAGCATCACATATTACATAGAATCAATT